TAGGGCTCTTAAACTGTTAAGGTGGAGACCTCCTGGCATTAAGTTAGGTTGGTAAGAAGGCTTGATGGAATTTATGAGTAACCACTAAGAGAATTGAAACAAAGGATTGAATTCCAAACAAAGAAAGAAACAAATAGAATATAAAAATCAGTTGTTAAATTTCATCTTTAAATAGTTGTACAAAGGGGTTTGAGTTCAACATGTCAAGTTATGAATAAGATGCATCTTGAAACATTTTGTAAGGAAGGATAAAGGAATAAATTCATTCAAATGACAAGATGAAGAAAAATTATGGTGTGACAAATCCATTTATAAATTAAGAAACCAAGGTAAACACTTTTTAAAATAAACGTTATGAGCCGGGTGCTGGTGCTCATACCTGAATCCTAGCTACTCAGAAGGCTGAGCTCTAAGGATCTTGGTTCAAAGCCAGTCCAGGCAGACAAATCTATGAAACTCTTACCTCTAATTAGCCAGCAAAAAGCTGCAAGTAGAAGTGAGGCTCAAGTAGTAGAATGCCAGCCTTGAGCAAAAAAAAAAAAAAAAAAGTAAAAGTATAAGTCTCTGAGTTCAAGTTCTAGTACTGGCACAAAGAAAATGGAGAAAGAAATAGAAATAGAGAAAGGGAAAAAGGGAGAAAAGAGGAAAGAAAGGAAAGGAAGGAAAAGGAGAGGAGAGGAGGGGAGAGGAGAGGAGGAAAGGAAGGAAGGAAAGAAGGAAGGAAGGAAGGAGGGAAAGAGGGAAGGAGGGAAGGAAGGAGGGAGGGAAGGTGGGAAGGAGGGAAGGAAGGAGGGAAGGAGGGAGGGAGGGAGGGAGGGAGAGAGAGAAACAGAAAGAAAAAGAAAGGAAGAAAAAGAAAGATCAAGAGAATGTTATGTCTGAAACCTTAAAGGCCTCCCAAATATCTATGTGCTAAGGGCTTAGTTAGCAGCCTGTGGCACTATTGGAGGTGATGGAGCCTTCAACATAGGGGGACTGGTGGAAGGAGGTTTAGGTCATGGGGCTGTACCCTGGATCCTCCCTTTCCCTCCCTGCTCCAGCTACCATGAGGTGAGCAGCGTCTTGGCTACGTGACCCATTGTGATACAATAATTCAACCAAATCACCACGAACTGAAACCTCTGGAACTGTGGATCAAGATAAACTTTTCCATTTATAATTATCTCAGCCATTTCATCACAGTGATAGAAAGATGACCAATATAAGGAAACTAAACATGTTTGATACAGGCAAAATTGAGTTATAGATATTCCATAAGAGTCACTAAACTATTAGGACACAGGATGTTTGAAAGTCAAGGATTACAAAAGCTACTTCAGATATTAACTGAAAGCAAGCTGGAGCAGTTGGACACCCAAAAGCTAATGCCCACACAGTCTCTTCAAGCCTTGGATGGATTATCTATAAAACTTGACATATTATAAGTCCATAAAGCAAATTTCAATTAAAGCCAAATAGTATCATAGGAACCACATTCTCCAGTCACACCACACTTAGATAATAACCCAACAACCAAAGATAAAACAATCAGCCTAAATTTGAAACTTAATGACAATCCTATAAAAGAAAGCATGGGCCAAAGAAGAAATAATAGTAATAATGTAAAATAATATAAGTGAACAATAATGAAAATCCACATTTTAAAATTTTGTTGAGGTGCAGCCAAAGCAGTTCATAGAAGCAAATTCATAGCTTTAAAATATTTGCACTAAAAATAAAGTTATAAAAAACAGAATTAAGTTTACAACCTAAACTGGAGACAGCATACTGCTAGTAAGCCCACACAACTAGGCCAAATAATAAAGAGGAGAATTGAATGAACTAGGGAAACGAACAATGAAGCAGTCATATAACAGATATTCTAAAGGGGAGATTGATTCAGCAAAAAGGAAGGCATAAACAATACTAGACATAAAAGCAATACAAAATTATATCCTTTTTAAAGTGTTCATAGTAAATGAGACTCTACCTAGAGTTTGGGCCTGGCTAGCTCCCTTCCCTAGCAACTTCAATGTTACAATTTCAGACTTTAGAAATCTTCAGGAGGACAGGGTGAGGTTGGCATTAATCTGGACAGATCATCAGGTTGGACTGTGTCTTGGAATGGCTGTGTAGGAAGCTAGGCAGAGATGCATGAGGGACAGGACTGAATCCTGAGACAAAACAGCCAGAACTCTCTTCAACAGAACATCTGTATCATTCAAAGCAACCTTCCTTTTATTCTGGAAGAAAACGGATCTACAAGGTAAAAGCAACTGTGATGTAGCCTGTGTGTAAAGGGCTGTGAAGCTAATAATAGACTTGAAATCCCCTATCTAAAATACCAGAAAACATTAGAAAATCCTAACATCAATCTTAAAGACTTACTCTCCAGCCAGTGAACTGGGTAGGCAAGGGCTCTGGCCTGTGTATCTGCACTACATCAAGGTTTATTCTGCCCAGTGTCTGATGGATACAGCCACGACTTGAGTGTTAGAAAAGTCAATGCTGAGGAGGTTCTGTGTGGATGAGAAATCGCCTGCCTTCACTTGAGTGGGAAACACAGGGTGTGGGGTGGGGGAAGCCGCTTGAATCAACCCTGTACTTGACATGGACTCCTGACATGGCTGCTCTGAGTGATTTCCAGCTGTGAACTGTGAAGAGGGATTATGGGAGCCACGTAAGCATTTTGAATCATTCACATAAAGAAGAGAGAGAATCATTCACACCAAATGAAGACACAACCTCCTGGTTGATTGTGGTTCCTAGAACCACCAAACCAAACAAAATGGCACCGTTGGCTAATGGCCTATGATCAGAACATGGCTACTGAGGCCCAGCAAGGTTTCCTACAGGTTAGAAAGTGTGAGTGGTGTCAGAATCGTGTTTCCTGGAACATGTGAGGACTTTAGTTCTTTATGAAGGAGAAGGTGCTGTTTTACCAGCAAGACCTAATCCAAGTTAGCTACATAAAGGGTAGGGGACCCTGGTAGGTCCTCTAATATCTCTAGCGTCCGGCACTCTTAGAAAGTCAGGACTGTGGCACAATGCAGGATAGAGCTAGGATTAAGTGTAATAGCCATCTGAAGGCATTCTGGAACCTGAGAAGCCTGTCCCCTTTCTAATCTTTCCCAATGCACCCCCTTTGCAAGACTGATGCCTCAGACTTCAGGTCTATGAAAACATATGGCATTTGCTAAAGACAGAACTGCAGTTTGGCTCACCCCACTGATAGAATTTCTAAGAACAACAACAATAGAGAAGAATCTGTTTGTATCCAAAACCAAAGACAGCAAAACAGTAGCCACAGAGCTCTCTGTGAGATTCTGAGGGATTCCGCATGACTAGCTTTCCCGAAAAGGTGAGGGTAAGTGTGGGGTCCTTCTTAAGAGAAAAACCATGAAAGACAAGCCAAAAGAAGCACAAAACCCTTCGGGATTCAGAAAAGAAATCTCTTCAGTATAGCTCAGAACAGGGCTTTAAAGATGCATCTGGAAGATGCCTGGTCACAGTTCTAGGCAGGCATTTGTGATTACTAATGGCAAATGACAAGTGAGAAAGCTAAGCCCAGAGACCTGACCTCGATCCTGAGCTCTCAACCTCCCAAGTAGCTACGATTACAGGCGTGAGCCACCGCGCCTGGCTACACGTTGCTTTTAAAGGTTTGGTTTGTTCTTCCTCCTTTTTGTCTTTTTCTTTTCCTCGTGGCTCCGGGATGGCCCTGGAGTCCAGTGCCTGCAGCACTGGCAGATGTTCCTCTGACTGAGCCACACCCCCAGCCTTTGTTCTTCATCTTTAAAAGTCTTTAAAGGTCCGGAGCCCACACCCACCGGGGTGGAGAGTGAGCAGCCCGGCAGAGGACAGTGGAAGCGGGCACTGTGCAGGCGCTGCAGTGGGATGGCCGTGTGGGCACAGCCCCCTCTTACCAAGGTTCCCTCCCATCCGTTTCCATGGTGCCATCCCTAACCAGACCACCGAGGTTAGAAAGCGGGCCCAGGATGAGGCAGGAAGGAAGGGCGCCTAGGCACACACCAAAGCCCATCCGGGCAGTCATGAGGTTGTATTTCTAGAACGTTTATCGCTAGGGCTACACTCAGTGTAGCCTGACCTTCTAGAACAGCAGAGCCTCCACCAGCTGCCTCCCAGCCGGACCAAAGGCTCCCATAACAGCCTTTCGGTGGAGCCCAGTGCTAGTGGCTCATGTCTGGGATCCCATGCAGCCTGGGGAGGTGACAGAAGTAGGAAGACTGCGCCCTGGACAAACATGGGAGAACCCTCCTGAAAAGAGCCAGGGCCAGGGCTGCCTGCCCAGAAAGCTCTGAGTTCAAGACTCATGTTTCTCATTTTTAAAAACCCCTAAGATAATGACAAACGTTTTCCTTCTCTGTTTGCCCGGGTCTATGTCGTCGTCCCGTAAAACTCACGCGGAGCTTTGATCAAGGACAAAGTTGAGCGTGCGCCGGGCTCGTGCTGGGAGCCAGGCTCCGGCAGCCAGCGGCCAGCGGGCGGATGCAGCGGCACGGCCCGCGGCGGGACACTGGCGGGCCGGCAGGTGCGCAGTGCGCACCCGTCCCGCTCCGTCCATCCTTCCACCGGGAGCCCCGCGGCTGCGCCAGGGAGTTACCGAGAGCAGCAACCAGGAGCCCGCGTCCCGTCGGTAACCCGGCTTTCCCCACGTCTCTCCGGTAACATGTTGCTCTTTGCCCCACAACAGTTTCGCCCAAACCAGTTCCCCGGGAGAGCCTCGACGACCTCTGTCCTCTTGTAGTTCAGATATTCATGTGGACACTGGAGGGGGGGCGGGGAACCCCTTCTGCCTCCAAACATCCCTTCTGGAAACCTCAAGTCGGCCCAGCCCCGCGGATGCCCACAGCAGAGACAGCGCGCGCCGCCGGGGGGGGGGGGCACAGGGCGAGGCGCGAGGGGGACCGGCCCGCCTCGCCGGCCACCAAAGCATCTCGGATGGGGCTGGGGCAGGGATCCACGGCCCGGACCCCCCCTCCCCCGTGCCCTCCCTTTACCTCGCTGACGATGGTGGCGTGGGTCTGCTCGTAGTGCCAGCCGCCGCTGCAGGGCACGAGGGGCGCGGAGCGGTTGGGGAAGGCGGCCAGGGGGTCGGAGCAGCTGAG